GCGACGTAAGCATAGTGGTTACCAATTAGCAGACTTAGTAGCCATTAAAGTAACACAGTTTGTAAATGGTAAAAAGCTGGCTCCGAAATATATCGGGCCATACGAGGTTACCAAAATAAAACGTAATGGAAGGTTTGACGTGAAGAAAGTTGCAGAGTTCCAGGGTCCGAATCAGACTTCAACTTGTACTGATTCTATGAAACTGTGGCGTTACATGGGTCAAGACGAAGACGATGAAGCTGGAGAATCATCTGAGACAGATGATGAGCAGGATGGCCGAGTGTAAAGTGGCATCCTTGTGCCATTATCATCAGTTGGCACCCCCGATCAGGCGAAGGTGTAATTAAGAAGAAGTCGTGGGATAGTCGTTTTTCAACAGTCGTAAGCAGCAGTCGTGGCATTCAGTCGTCAGTAGTAAAGTTGTACAGCAGTCACTAAAGTTGGTCAGAAGTTGCGAAAGTCGGCGTCTAAACATATTTTTAAGTCTTATGTTATTATATAATACTATTCTTACTGTTTGTCAAATACTCGATATACTTTATTAAACGATTTATAAACCCAATAAATCTTACATATATATATATATATATATATATATATATATAGATATATATATATATATATATATATATATATATATATATATATATTATATAATATATATATATATATATATATATATATATATATATATATATATATATATATATATATGTGCAATAATGAACATGCTAAATTATTTTGTTTCTATTTATTACTTTTGTTTTTTATTAACAATGCTCGAGGAAACTGTAACGACGCGTTGCGCAGCAACCAGCTGTGCGTCATTACGATGCCAAGTAGTTGTAAATTAATAAGTAATTGTAAGAATAGTAAGCCATGAAGGCGAGTAATTTTAAGTGCGGTTTAGGTTAGTTCACTTCTGGTTCTTGGCTCATGCCCAACGCGCACTGAAGCGCTCTGTATGTTGTTTTACAATTAAAGAAACACGTGGAGAAGTTTGGGCATACCGCCCTCTTTTATTTGGTGGACACCTCGGCACTTTGGGGTGCCTAATTTATTTCAGCATACTCTGGCCGGCGAGCATACCCGCGGCAGAGTAACAACGTTACAAGTGGCGCCCGAGCAGGGACCCCAAAGAAGTGTGAGGTTAGATCCGACCAAGTAGGGGAGAGAGCGTGGACCTACGATGCTACGAACGAGCTGGATTCGCGTGCTGCGGAAGGAAGAGCTCAGCACGGTGCTGCGCGAGTTCGACATCGAGGAGACCGGCACCGTGGAGGCTTTGCGGGGGCGGCTGGCAACGTTCGTAAGTCGGCCCAAGAAGAGTACCGACCCCGCCTGGAAGAACTAGCGGCGTATTACGAGAACATGTCGTCGCGTACCGCGACGGCAGGTCAGTTGAGCCCGGTGCCCGGCGGACGGCTGGGAGTCCCGAAACAAGAGGACGTACCGGAGGGACTGCTCGTCGTGACAGAGGCGAACACGACACCGCTAACTCCTGCGACAGTGCCGACCATCTCGGTAGCGGTCGCGGCCTCGCCGGGAGCTACCACAACCGAGCCCACGGCAGCCTCAGCGACGCCAACAGTGGCTCCAGTGCTCTCAACGGCGGACCTGACACAAGCGATTGCCGAGTTGGCTCAGTACACCCACCAGTTGGCCCAGGCTATGGAGGATGGTTTCCAGAAGCTGTCGAGCCAGGTCTGCGGTTCCACCGCGCCTGCTGGTAATGTGCCTGACGAAGATGACCCAACGGCACCGACTCCAGCGTCACCGCTCGCAAGCGCGCAGGCGGTGGCAGAACCACAGGCGCCAACATCAGCCGTGTCAACCGCATCCGCGGCTGGTTCGGCCCACTCGACAATGTCACGAGCGGAGCGGAGAGCCCTGAGCACGGAGGTGGCACAGTGGGGAGTACGTTTCGACGGCAGCGGGGACCCAAGAACGTTCCTCCGGGATCTGGAAGATAAGGCAGAGATGAGGAACGTGCGATTAGATGAGTTGGTGACCGTGTTACCGGAAGTCCTGGTTGGCGAGGCGAAGGAGTGGGAGTGGTCAAGGCGCAATTTGGCACAACGGTGGGCCGAGTTCCGCCAAGACCTACTAAAAGAATATCCAGCGGGTCCCCACATAGAAGAGCGCCGGCGGGAAGCATACAGCCGGGTCCAGGGCGCATCAGAGGGCCCTATCGAGTATGTCCGAGCGATGCAACGACTGATGCGCGGCGCGGAGATGACTGCAGAGGAGCAGCTGAGACTTGTCCACGCCAACGGGCTACCAGAAATACGCGCCAATCTCCGCCTGGCATGCGAAGAAGTAAGCTCACTCGATGGGTACTTACAGGCGGCACAGGGCGTGCGCCAAGGAATCCTAGCACGGTCACAGGCGGCCGGCAATGATGAGACGAACGCCACACACCCTACGCCGTTCCCACAGCCGGTGGCGGTTGGCCCAGCGGACACGCATCGTCGCCCACCCATCTGCAGACGTTGCGGGATGGGAGGGCACAGTATGGACGCGTGCCCAAACTCTCAACAGCTCTACTGTTGGGACTGTGGTAAGATGGGGGTGCGTGCGAACGAATGCTGCCGACGCGCGACGGGAAACGCCAGGGGGGGCTCGTCCCACATCAACAGTCGGCGAGCCCACGCAGGCAGATTCCAATTAACAACGACACGCAGGGTAGCGGCCGCGCTACCAGTAGACTGCGATGTGGTACTGGTAGAGGCGGTCGTGGACACCGGAGCGACACGCAGCTTCGCGAGTCCGATGCTGGCGCAACGCCTGCGGGCGCCAGACGGAGGAAATGTACGGTCCGTGAGCGTGACTGTGTCCATGGCTGACGGGACACAGAAGACGGTCCGTGAAGAAACGAAGGCGACGGTCACGGTGGGCGACAGTCGCGTAGTACTGCCGCTGCTCACACTCCCCGGATGCATAGATGAGCTCACATTGGGACTGGATTATGTCCAAATGGCCAACGGGGCGGTGACTGTGGGCGGCCAAACTGTAGAATTGCGAACAAACGATCCACGGCCACGCAGACGGCGGAGGCGAAATCGCAGAGCCCGACATGCAGCCTTGGTGACAAGCGAGGATCAGGCACGCCAGTACAATCTGCGGAGACGCGAGTGGCGACCCAGACTGGGCGACGAGGTGCTCGTGCGACAACATCACCTGTCCAACGCAGCCGAGCAGTTTGCGGCCAAGCTGGCGCCTCGCTTCGATGGCCCATTCACGGTACGAGCATTCATATCCCCAGTTATAGTGCGTGTGCGACCGGTGGCGGGCGGCAGAGGTAGAACGGCACATGTGCGGGATCTAAAAGCGGTGAACGCAGAAGACAGCGAAGCCGACGAAGGCAGCGACGACAGAGGCAGCGTTAGTATGGTCACCAGGGCCACGCCACCGACAGCTTCACAGCAGCCACAGCAGGCCACTCCTCAGCGTCAACAAAAGCAGCCACAGCGGCAGTCCGGGCATCAAAGTCGGCCATATCAACGAGCACGACGACAGCAGCCACGGTCACGACAGCAGCAACAGCAACCAGGGCTTCGTAGCAGCCACACCGACAACAGCAACGGCAACACCACCGGCGTCCACCAAAGCGGGAACAGCAAAGCTGCTGTTCTAGCCGAAGAAGATGCCCATGTAAGCCTACAAACATAATTAAACGCAGTTTGCTGTTACGTTTCAGGCCATGTGAAGCGATGTAGATTACCGCACCGCCTGAGATACACACTCAGCGCCGAATATACCAGAGACGCAGCAGATGGGCGGTATGCTAATTCCATTGGCGATCCATAAACAGCTACGGCAACAGCAGCCAGTCCCACAGCAGCCACTACAGCACCCATTACAGAATCCAGAGGATGACGACACGTCAGCACCACGCGGCGGAAATGCAGAAAACAACAATGCGACCGAATGACAGAGCGAACAGCTGACGGTGAAGGTACAGGTGGCGTTGACAGGTGGCCAAACGCGAGGGGTGGCAGCGCTGCCACCCAGCTGCTACACATCTGCCGTTCGATTATGGCGCGGTGAAGGAAAATTCGAAAAACCACCGATCGGGCCGTTCGACCCCTTGGGGAAAGGGGGAGGTGTAACGACGCGTTGCGCAGCAACCAGCTGTGCGTCATTACAATGCCAAGTAGTTGTAAATTAATAAGTAATTGTAAGAATAGTAAGCCATGAAGGCGAGTAATTTTAAGTGCGGTTTAGGTTAGTTCACTTCTGGTTCTTGGCTCATGCCCAACGCGCACTGAAGCGCTCTGTATGTTGTTTTACAATTAAAGAAACACGTGGAGAAGTTTGGGCATACCGCCCTCTTTTATTTGGTGGACACCTCGGCACTTTGGGGTGCCTAATTTATTTCAGCATACTCTGGCCGGCGAGCATACCCGCGGCAGAGTAACAACGTTACAAAACATTCAATTTTTAGTACGAAATTCCTGTGAACTGTCCATGGATTGTTCCGACACTTCCCTCTTAGCCTTTGGCTCAACACGGGACATCTATGTATATTAGTGGCACGTCCAGAAATTCGTCCACTCCAGAAAGCTTGGCGTCGAAAACAGCAACAACACTCGCAACCAGCAAACCCAACAATACGAACAAATGCAAAAGAAGTGCCGAATGCACTAATTATTGCAACGAAAAAACTTAAACTCGTACTTTCTCGGTCTTACGGGAATCAGGATACCAAGTTTGGTTGTTCTAGCTCTTATACTTTCTGAAATTCTTGCGTTCATACAGACGGATAGGCGGACGGACAGACAGGCGGACATGGCTATGACTCGGCTTGTCATCCTGATCAATAATATATATACTTTTGGGGGTCTGCCACGCCTCCTTCTGCCTGTTACATACATTCGCACAAAACTAGTATACCCTTTCACCCTCTCGGTACAGGGTATATTAAGATTATATTATTTTCATAGCCTGTTTAAGAAACCTTAAATTTGTACTTACAATGAATCTTCCATTTTTTTTAGGAGAGCCGGGGCACTGGAACTATTACAACTTCAACAAACTCGTCATCCTCTATTTCTATTGATGATTCGGAATCCGAGAATTCGTGCAATCAAACTGAGTTCTCCAATTATAATGCATCAGAGCTGGAGCATATTTATAAAAAGGCTATTCGTAATTTAGAAGAATGTGTTATTCGTTTTCCTGAACACTACAAATCCATTTATCGCCTTGTTTCTTTTTACATGAATGGTCCAAAGAAAATGCGGAATTTTCAAGTAGCTGAAGATTTACTTCTTCATCATTATCAAACCAGCGTGGGAAATATGGTTGATGGACTGTTTTTTTATAGAAAAAGGAATAATATTTTTAACGGTATATGGAGAATTCCGTCTTCAGAAATCGACAGACCTGGAAGTTTTTCAACACATCTTGTGAAATGTATTAACATATTGCTGCAGTTACTCAAAATTCAATGTAACTATAAAATTTTAATTGATATTATACTTCAGTTTCAAAGACCACCGGAAACTGAGAGGTAAGTCATTATTTTAATATAACATACAATTTTTGTTGTATCCAAAGGGTAAACTAGTTTACTGCGTATGTGCATACACACAGAAGGAGGCATGACAGACCTCTGAAAGTATATATATAATTTTCATCAGTATGACAACTCGAGTCTGATTGTCTGTATGAGCACAAGGATCAAAGTATATATATTCTTGAACAACATGACAAGCCGAGTCGATCTAGCCCCGTCTGTCCGTCCGTCTGTCCGTAGAACCACCTAGATCTCAGAGATTATAAGAGCTAGAGACACCAAATTTTGCAAGTTTGTTTTATTTTTTTGTTTTTTCCCCACTTTCCCCTATGGAGGTTTTCCCGATTTTCCATTCGTATAATCGCCTATATCTCGGAGACTATAAGACCTAGGAACACGAAATTTTAGTCCAAGATGCCTTATGTAAATACGCAGAAAATGTATATTTTGGAATTTCCCTCCCTCCCTCCTCTCTCATGAAAATAGATTTTCTCTAACTTCCGTAATTCTTGGAATTTCGAACTAAAATTTTGCAAATACCCCCAGTTATTTATTATGTGTCCGTATGCTAAGTTTCATATAATAGACCGATTCAACAAGAAGTTATAGCCATAAATATATATGCTGCTCAAGCGCTGCCCGCAGCTGTTGTTGATGCTGGTGCTTTGGTTGACTGCAAACATGTTCACACAGACACGAATAGACGCGCATAGACACACACATACACTCACATAGGCGCAATTGCTTTGTATGTGTGCAATTATACACCCTTTACGTGAGTTCGAATACAGAGAGAGGTAAAATCGATCCAAATTATTTTTTTTTCACATTCTTAATTTTTTTATTTTCTATAATTTGTGTAAACAATGTACAGAGTATTTCAAAGTCGGGACACTCGACTTTAGCTTTTTTACTTGTTTTTAATTCTCTTAATATTTTTTTTCTAATTATTGTAAACATGTATAGAGTATTTCAAAGTCGGGATACCCGACTTTACTTGTTTTATTTTTTTTTGTAATTTTTTATTTTCGCCTAACTTTCCCATGACAATGGAATTTTCCATAACCGTTTTATAGTCACCTATATCTCGGAGAATATAAGATCTAGGTACATTACATTTTAGTATGATGCCTTATATGAATACGCAGAAAATTTGTTTATTTCTATAAATATTATACACATACATACTTGTAAAAACCTGTTAAATGCACAACTACTAAACTGAGCACAATAATGTTAAATTACACCAAAAATACATCAAGTAAAACAATAATACACAAATTAAAGGCTTATCCATAATAAAACACGGCAAACATGTCTTTCACTGACAACATCTCCCTCTGACAACTCGCTCACGCTGTTTAAGAATATATATACTCTATGGGGTCGGAGATGCTTCCTTCAGTGAACCTTTCTTGGGCGGACACTCTCCGCTGACCAACTTTTGTCCGGCCAAGACGAGTATTCGGTTAAAAGGATAAAAATTTTTTTTTTAGTTTTTTGCTTATTTCTATTTGGGCGATTCAAATAAATTCACTTTATTCAATATCAAAATTCAGTTATAATTTATGTAAGTACTTATATACATAGTACGTAGTACAGCCACAGCAGGAAAAACAGATATTCACTACTATTGCAAAACTAGAGTATTTTCCTTTTGCAACCATTCCTGACCTAAATAACAACACGTTTAATTTATTTTACGATATTTGTCCAAGCGCTACTATAAATTCCATCGTGCAAAACAGAATAATTGGGAAATAATTAAATAGCAATATTGTAGTTGAATGAAATAATTAGAGTAGAGAATCGGATGTCCCGACTTTGAAATACTCTGTACATATGTTTAGAATAATAGGAAAATTCAAATTAAAAGATTTTACCTCTCTCGGTATTCGAACTCACGTAAAGGGTGTATAATTCCACATTTACATAGAAAGCACCAATATCAACAACAGCTGTGGGCGGCGCTTTGGCAGTACATATACTTATGGCTGTGACTTCCTTTAAAATCGATCTTTCATAGTGATGTTATGGCTTCAGTCACTTTGTTCTTGCAACGTACTCGGGATCTTCCTCACCTCCGTTGTCCTCCAACTACCGCATCAAACACTTTCCGAGCTAGAGCTTCTTCTTCCATACGAACGACATGACCTAGCCAGCGAAGCTCATCGTATTCATTCGCCTGATCACGTCAGTGATCGTCTGCCAAGAGAGAGCTCTACTGTTCAATTGCCTACTGAGCCCATTGTACCACCTGTTCGCAAGGATTATTCGCCGCTTAATCTCCAGGCTGATATTATTGGTGATGTCAAAAGCAGAGCCAAGGTAATTAATTTTCTTGATTCCAAAGTTATAGTTCCCTGCTGCCAGATGAGAATCAAGACGTCGCGATTCTCTGTTAAAGCACACCATAAACTTTGTTTTGCTCGTGTTTACCGCCAGACCTACTTGGGCCGACTCCCTTTCGATCGCTCCAAAAGCACCAGTGACATCACACTTGGTCCGACCGATGATGTCAATATCATCGGCATATCCAAGGAACTGGACACATCTGTTTGTCAATATTGTGCTCGTCCGATGTACTCCGACTTTCCTTATATTGCTCTCCATAAGTTGAAGAGCATACATGAGAGCGAGTCACCTTGTCTGAGACCTTGCTTGGTAGTGAAAGTTTCGGAGAGGTCGTTTCCTACCATAACGGAACTGATGGTATTGTTCAACGTCATTCTGCTGAGCCGAGTTAGCTTTTCAGGGATACCAAGCTCAGACATGACATCATATAGGCGATCTCGCAGTGGACTATAAAAGGCAGCCTTGTGGTCGACAAAAAGGTGGTAGGTGTGGATCGACTTTTGTAAGACTTTTCCAGGATATGGCGCAGTGTGAAGATCTGGTCAATGCGATTGGAAGAATACTAATACCACGATAGTTGGTACGTATGGTGGCATCACCCTTCTTCAGAGTAGGGCAGATCGTACTAAGGCTCCAATCTTCGGGCATATTCTCTACAAGCCATGTCATCGTCGTTGCAGGCAAATGCGCCCTTCCTAAAGCCCTGGGTCAGACATTTAAACCTCTGGTAGAAGTTTCGGTCTTCATTACTGTCTCTGCTCCACAATCTCACTTCATACTTTTCAAGCTCCCGTCTGAAACGTCGCTTCTCTTCTCTCCTCTTTATTCTATAAGCCTCTACCACAGCTCGAGTAGCACCAGCTTGCAGTGCTTGTCATGCTTTGTGGCCCCGCCCCGCCTCCTTCTGCCTGTTACATTTTTCACCTCCCGCAAACCTAATATGTATGTATACTCTTGTACATTTTTCGTACAGAGTATAAAAATATGGATGATCAAACTTGATGAAAAGTATCGCTACAATTATTTTATTTGTGTTTGAAACGCCCATTACCAAAAGGTACGCGTCCGGCCAAGAGATGTTTTATTTCAAATTTTATGTACAGAGCAGAGAACTGCAGCGGTGCACCGCAACAATAAGTACACCGCATACCTACTTAGAATATTTCACTCACGATCACACAAAACACCGCATAAAAAATGATGCGGTGTTGATTATACTCATGGCCTTCTTATACTTAGATCAATGTAATCACAACAAGACTTTTCGCTATCCTCTTCACTCATTTTTGTACTTATGCGGTTGGTGATTGCAAAGAAACTTGTGAGAGTAAAAACCACCACCAAATGTTTGCGATCAATTGAGTATTGGGTTTTCTCGCACTCGGCAATTTTTTTACTCTGTCTTTTTGAGTGTTCGCTCTGCACGATCAATTCAGATGCGGTGCCTGCAATACTTGTACTTATGAAAGTATGATTTGCGATGTTGACCTTGGAAATTCAGTGCACATGTGTTTACACGTATGTACATATGTATGTAGTAGAACATGTATGTATGTTCTTTTGTGTGTACACTGTACATATTCCGCTACGATTTTGTTTTGGCTATATCGCTAAGAATACAAACATAAATAAGGCAAGGTATAAAAAAAGGTGTACAAAATTAAAAGGATTTATTTAATTCATTTTTTTGTTCTTATGAATACGTTCCTCTATGATCGATTCAACACTAATGAGGCTTATGCAGCAATTAACTATACCCTTCCATATGAAGCAGAATGCAGAAAAAAATAATTTACAGTGCATTATGAGCATACATAAAAAAACGCCGTTATGCACATGCGTTGTTTTCAGTACTTGGTCTTTGCTTCGCTTCGATTTTCATATGCGGTGTTTGCAGTACCCGGTCTTTGCTTTGCTAATCATCACATTGATTTTGTCAACTCTTCTCTCATCGTTTCTTGCGCACGCAATATTTGTATTGTGCGCGTATGAGTATAAGTATAAGTACGATTGCAGAAAACGACAACAAGAATGTGCGATGAAAAAGTAAAGCAGAAACCGCATACTCCCATGATCGAGTACGAAAGTGATCCAGTCATAGCAATACAAAAATGCCTTTTGAGTAGGTCACTGAATTGACAAAATAGTATGCGGTGGCGATCACACTGCAACCGCTTTTTCAGTAAGTATACTTAGAGTAGAGCAAGTCAAACTTGCTTTAAAAAGTACACCAAAATGAATAATCTAGAAAAAGTGTCATTCTAAGAGGGGTTAATAGATGTGTCCGTTAAGGGAGTTTTTACTGTAGTACTTATTACATATTATATCACTTCTTATGCCCAATACCAATTGTTATCGGGTATTTCTAGGAATTTCCTTGAAGACCTAACCTTCGTATTTTTATTTTCAGATGTTATATCCAGGACTATGATCGTATAAAGCTGTACAATACAGCCATTAATTATTGCCAAGAAACTATGCGCAATATATTATATAAACATGAAACTGAAAAAAATGAGAAAGAATTATTAAACATGTTATTGGATATGTACAAAATACAAAAGAAATACTATAAATATGCTATTCAAAAAGATATCTGGTTCTCAACCATTTTTGTTGAAGTCTATCTATCCTATATAAAAATAATTAACGCATTACCGTACGGCGACAACTATTTTGATTTGGCAGTAAAACTTTGCCATCAGGAGATCACTCATAAAAAAAATATGGAGAAACAATCGTCATTGCTAACGAACATCAATCAGGTAAGTTTGTGCATATATTTTTGTGTTTGCTAATGGTTAGCTGAACAAGATAGAACATTACAGACGAACTGCCTAGTAAAAAACCCTGCACACAGATCAGATTAATAACAAGAAAGGAATGCTAAAGTCGAGCAGGCTCAACTCTTAAATACCCTGTACCACCCCACAAAAAAAGAAATTAATTAATTAAATTAATTTAATTAACAGAAAATTTAAATATCTTATAATTTATTGAGATCAATTAGAACAAATCATATATGTACAAACATACAGGTGTACATCTGCCCGCAACGCGAAGCAGAATATGCGTAGGTACGCTTTCGTTTTCTGCTTTACTATCGCTTACGCAGTCGTTGCCAGCGACGGTAACTGTAAACTTTTGGCATTTTGCCTTTGAAATTAACAGGCGTAAATGATCAAAACGAAAGAAGAGCAAGCCAATGACTTACAGTTGTTGTTGTTGTATTTTGTTTTAAAAATTTGATTCAAAACCATAGAACATTATTTATTACAATCAAACAACGGTGATCGATTGTCATACATACATACATACGAATATACATACATGCTATGTATGTAAGTACACAGGCATACATACATACATATGTATGTATGTATATATGCATGCATGTTTCTCTTTACATTTTCATACATAGACCCGAACTGTTACTTGTTCTGTGTGTGAGTGTGTGCATATGATGTCCCCAACTATTTGATATTTACGTTCTTTGTAATTTTTTGTTGCTGCATAAAGTTACTAATGAAAACCCCAATGCCAAATGTACTAAACAAAGAAAAAATTACTTTTAAAAATGTTAAATAATTTTTAATTAATTAATATTTCTTGCTCTGTCAGTGAAAGACGAATGAACATACATATGTACATAAATAGATGTGTACATATGTATATGTGTACATTCACACATTAGTGTCTCACATTAAACTATTCAATTAAAAATATATAATTATAAAGAATAATGAAAATGTTTAATGTGAAAACTAAAACTATGACTAACTTGTAATGACTAGCGTAATAATTTAAAAGTAACCGATACTTGTAACGCTAGGATAAGGTTAATAAATAAAATAAAAATAAATAAATAAAACATTTTGCTTGGCTATTTTAATCGTTTGAACTAGAGATGGGCACGGGCCGGCTATTTTCGGCCCGACACGACACGGCCACGAAATTAACTTTTAGAAACACGCACGCGCACGCACGACGAAAATTTTTCTTAACACGGCCCAACACGGCCCAACATGAACTTTTTATATATTAAATATAAAAATTTAAAAAAAGAAAAATATATATATATGTATATAAACATTACAAATTTTTATTCAGAAAGATTATCTTATCAATATTTGAGCTAAGAAGCCGAGTACGTCGCTCATTTAAAATATGTCCAGAAGTGGAAAAAACTCGTTCGCTTGTTGCAGAGCTGACAGGGATATTGAGTATATGCCTTGATAATTGCCTTAGCATTTTAAATTTTGTTGATTTTTTCCAGAATGTTAGCACACAAATTCCTGGATCAACAACACTACTTATATAATCATCTATTTCAATATCCATTCTTGACCTGTCCAATTTAATTTTTTTTTTAATTATTAGTGTCCAAAAATTCTGAAAAGTCGTGTTGACTATTGGGTGCTTCGTTTTCTTATTCAAGTGTTAAATCGTTATTTAAGCTATCATTTATTTCAGCTAGCATCGATTTTAGTGTCAGAATGACGCGCCCCTTCTTATCGGGACTTAAAAAGTTCATTTCCTTAAAAGGTGGATTCAAAAATAGCCCCAATAAATGAACTGTGGTTGGTTCAAAACGTTTTTTTTAAAGAATTTAAGGTTAGATTCTTTAGTTTTGTTATAACAACAGAATCGACAACGCCCTAGTCGCAGTGGTTCTTCAGCTTTTCAGACCACAACGCAAATATAACAATTGTTGATTCTTTTTCAGAACTAAGCTTCTCTGAGCATTCTTTAAATGGTTTGAGAAAATTGAATAAGTCATGCATCAGGTCAAAGTCAATCCCTGAAATACGTTTTAATTCATTTTTTTCCAGTAACAAATGCTGGATTTCTAATTTAACATCATAAATGCTATTTAGCATAATTTAGATTGAATTCCATCTTGTGCTTACTTCCTGTTTTAAAGTTTTGCTCAGCTTGCAATTAAGCTCTGAATGTTTAAAATATTTTACCAATTTTTTAACTAAATTAAGATTGTGACAAGAAAGCCTTTTGTGGTGGCTAAATGCGGAAACAACATTTGAACCATTGTCTGTTATTATGACACTACTCTTAAGACTGTTTCGTAGCTCATATTCATCAAGTATAGAATTGACTTGTTCCAAAATATTAGATCCTGTTTTAGAAACTACAAATTCTTGTACACCTAACATAGCAACTTTAAGTTCAAACAAATCTGTAATATAGTGGGCACTAAGACATATGAAAGTCGGCGGTGGTAAATGCTCTTAAATGCTGCTTAGCGAGGTCAATCTTAAGCTTAGCCCTTATATTATCATATGTCACAGACAAAAAATTTGTTGATAATGAATTGTTTAAAAATGTATTTAGCTTGTGTTCTAAAATATGGGCAAACGCTAAAAGTAATCGAATTATCGATATATTTTGATTATTTACCCAACATTCGTTTTTTTATTACTTTAGTTGTTCATTTTATTTCGTGCTATGTTCGTGTTCTTTCATGTTTCCTCGTGCGTTTTTTATCGTGCCTTTTTGGCTCAACACGAACACGCACGGCCACGCATGAAATCGGAATTTACAACACGAACACGCGGGCCCACGCGTGGCACGAAGTGCCACGACAAAAAACACGGCCCGTGCCCAACTCTAGTTTGAACGCATATACACGAACAGCTGCTTGGATGTGTGTGTGTGTGTGTATGTATATGTATACTTAGTTGTCCCCAACTGTTTGATTTTTTTTATTGTTTGTTCTGCCTGCATTTGTAAAATGCATATTTTGAAAATCCTTGAACGCAAAGTTGTAGATTTAGTTACGTAGATTACAGTCTCCAAATTTGAAATCGATCGCAGAAAATTAGTTACGTAGATTACATTACCCAAATTTTAAATCGATCGGACTAAATTTATAACACAAACTTTCATTTGAAATAGTGAATAAATATTAAAACCCCAATAATTCAAGTTCCACCACAAATTTCGAAAATCCGGGTATGCAGTTTTGTTTGTATTCTTTTATAGATTACTAGCAGGTATTGCCCGTCTTAACCCGGCTCAATATGTTTCAAATTGTATTTATTTTGTGTGTGCATAACCTACCCATATGTTTTCACCTTAAAGGTTACCAGTAGGAAGGCATTTAATGTATTTAAATGAACATTTTCTGTTCTTGACAAAAAATTGTTCAGTAGTCCGTTACATTTTTGTTCTTGACAAACTATTTCGTTAAACGAACATGACCACTATAACTAATATTTTTTAAAGCTCGTTTTCCCCCCGTTGGAGCTAGAATTTTCCAAAAGCCTTTCTTAGTGTGCTCCTACACTATGATGGATACTATGAAAGGATACTTGAGTCCAAATTTAAATTCACATTTGAGTCTTTTCGTGCCATATTGAGTCAATATGGAATATGAAACACGGCACACGTCAATGCCGTGCAGCGATGAGCCACGATCAAAAAGCACTGGCACCGATACCATCAAAATATCGAAGTTTGAATGCAATAAGCAGAATATTTAAATAACAAAATCTAATTTATTGACATCAATAAGAACAAATCATATACATACATACATCTGCCCGCAATGCGAAGCAGAATATGCGTAGCTCCGTTATTCGGTTTCTGCTTTACTATCGCTTACGCAGTCGTTGCCTAGCGACGGTAACTGTAAAATTTTGGCGTTTTGCCTTTGCAATTAACATTAAATGGTCAAAACGAAAGAAGAAGAGCGAGCTAATGACTTGCAGTTGTTGTTGTTTTTAGAGCATTATTTTATTTAAAATCAAACAACTGTGTTCGATTGCCCAATGTATACATTAATACGAATGCGAATGAATACATATGTATGTTTCTCTTTACTTTTTCAACCGTACGTAGAGAATCGCACACATAGACACGAACTGTTGCTTGTTGTGTGTGAGTGTGTGTATGTGATGTCCCCAGCTATTTGATATTTGTTGTTGCTGCATAAAGTTATTAATGAAAACACTAATGCCTAATGCACTAAACAAAGAAAAAATTACTTTTAAAAATGTTATATAATTTTCAATTAATTAACATTTCTTGCTCTGTCAGTGCAAGACGAATGTATATACATACATATGTAGATACATATGTACATAGATGTGCACATACATATGTATCTATGGACATTCACACATTAGTGTCTCACATTTTGCTTTGGCTATTTCAATCGTTTGCACGCAACTACACGAACAGCTGTTTGTATGTGTGTGTGTGTGTGTGTGTGTGTGTGTGTATGTATACTTAGTTGTCCCCAACTGTTTGATATTTTGTATTGTTTGTTCTGCCTGCTTTTGCAAAATGCATATTTTGAAAATCCTTGAATGCAAAGTTGTAGATTTAGTTACGTAGATTACATTATCCAAATTTTAAATCGATCGGACTAAATTTATAACACAAACTTTTCATTTGAAATAATGAATAAAGATTAAAACCCCAATAATTCAAGCTCCAACACAAACACAACGAAAATCTAAGTATGCAGTTTTCTTTGCATTCTTTAATTGATTTTAGAAACTAAGTTTTAAGTCGATCGGTTGAAAAATGCGGATTTTTCAAACAAACTTTGGAGCTAATTTTCCCCCCTTTGGAGCTCGAATTTTCCAAAATCCCTTCTTAGTGCTCATCTACACCATGATAGGATACTTGAGCCCAAATTTCAGCATCCTAGCTTTTACCGTGTGGGCTGTGGGCTGTTGACGCGGTTTGCTTTTGTGCCCCAACATTTTTTTTACAGGAAAACTCCCATATTTTAGGCCCAAAAAAAAATATCAAAAAACCAAGTATACAGTTTTTCTTGGAATTGGAGTATACAAACTAAGTTTGAAGTTAATCAGATGAAAACTGTAGATTTTTCATACAAACGTTGGAGCCTGTTTTCCCCCCTTTGGAGCTCGAGTTTTCCAAAATCCCTTCTTAGTGGGGACCTAAACTATGAAAGGATACTTGAGTCCAAATTTCAGCTTCCTAGCCTTTTGGGCTGTGCGTTGATCACCAATCAGTCAGTCAGTCAGGACAAACTGTTTTATATATATATATATACATATATATATATATATATATATATATATATATATATATATATATATATATATATATATATATATATATATATATATCTTGGTATCGCTATTAATAAACATTATATGATACACAAGATCACATTTATGCTGCTGGACCAAACACTTATAATAGTAAAAATATTATTGCTTTATTAGAGTAATAGATGTGTCGATGACGATATCTTAATTTGTTTGCTTCCTAAAGTATTTAAAACGTTTGATTATAACTCTAAAATGTAATAATTAATTAATTGTTTTTCAGGTGTCAAATATACTTATTACGGAACAGCTACCATGCAATCCATCAAATGTTTTAATTGAAAATGAGTCTGTCATCTTTACACCACCTGCAGTCCAATCAGGTACCGAGCATATGGAGTCGGAAAATATGCATCCATTGTTTCAGGTATATATGCGCTAGATAATAAAGTCATTTATTTTATGTTATTTTATTTCCTGTTATTCAAATATCTACCTTCTGTGTGATTTACGAGTATACATAGAATCACAATAATCGAGTATGTCCTTGTAACCCTTGGGTTGCACGTTATAAACATGATAACTAGAAATAAAATATTCTATTAGTAAAAAAAAACATCGCCTATTAATAAAAGTCGATGAACGTTTTCATTATGAGTATAAGGGAATGTAAACAATAGAGCTCTAGACAGCAATAGTATTAATAGGTAGGTAGGTAGGTAGATAGATAGGTGGGTAGGTAGGTGCGGCAGCCAAACCCTGGCTCACTTAGGCCCTAAAAGTCCACTTCCTAAATGCGCGTGGTTGGCTGCTTGTCTGCGCATGTACTACATCCATCCATATGCTTGGATGAATTTGAAAATGTGTTTCGGCTTTCTGTTATCTAGTTCCGATAGATTCGGGAGGAGGATAGCTCCTAAAAAGCGTTGTCTTGTCCTTAACTAGACTGGGCAGTCGCAGAGTTTCCTCCTCTTCCACGCCGTCTTAAAGTCCTAGTCTGGCGGCACAGGTGCCAACCAGCCAGTGCCCCGTAATGGCTCTGATTACGTCTGAGCATTGGCCTCTGCTCAGTGTGCAGATCTCCGAAGATCGCTTCTTGTTGCGTTTGTGGTGATTTTGCGGTGTGATCTCTGCGTCGTTGGTCCACATTTAATTTGCAACAGAATCAAAGTGGTTCGGCAGGTGGTCCGACACTTTCCTTCTCTGGAATGAGGAAAACGGGGGTTCCGTGTCTTGCCAGCTCGTCGGCAATGCAATTTCCCTCTATAGCCTGGTACCCAAATGAGGTAAACTGAGAACTTTGCTGCCATCTCGTAGAGAGATTTGCGACTTCGAAAACACTGCACTGGTCCGTAAGCTTGAAGGCTTTTTTGATGCCAAGTTGTTCGCTAAAGGCGCCACCGCCTACGCGGTTGTCTAGCTTAGAACCGTTTGTATAGATTTTGATTGATTTGCCAGCCCCCATGCTGGAGGGCCAATATTCTATTCTTCCCTAGAGAGAATGATGTGATGAAATGGAGTATGGGGATACTTCTTGGGGGTGCAGTAGTCAGTGACTGAGGGGATAGTGTCATTTCCTCTCAGGATTTGGGCATGACCAAAACAGTCTTCTGATTACTGATTACTGATCTTCTAGGGCTTTGCGCAATAGATGGTTGGCTATTTTTAACCGCTCCTTTGGGTCAGGTGATCTGTGCGCTTGCCACTCCCGCCGAAGCCTTCTCTTATTTCGTAGCAGCTCTTCAATATGTTTGGGAAAACCACTGCTTTGGTAAGGTTTATAAGCTGTGATTTCTGGAGTGGAATGTTGTGCCGCCAGTGACATTACAGACACTAATGCTTCAACTGAGGTATCTATGTCATCTATACAGTTAATGTTTGGGCAGCCTTTAATATGGGAACTTACGTACTTCCTGTATTTAAGCTAAGTTAAAAGTGGTGGTGGTAGTTAAAAAGTGGTGGTGGTCATAAAGGTGAAGAACGATTGGCGAGTGATCCGATGATAGATCTGTTAAGTGCTCCACACAAATCTGAGCCTTTAGCACTCTTCTTGTAACAGCAAAATCAATCAAGTCTGGTTGGTTCTTTGAATCTGTGGGCCAATATGTAGGCCAGCCTGGAGAAATAAAGTCAAGCTTGTTTCGTGATGTTATTATAGAGATATATAGTTGTCTTTCTTTGGGTTATTGAGCCGGGATCCCCAATGTGTGTGTTTGGCATTGTAGTCACCAGCTGCTATGAAGCGGTCACCTAGTAGGAAGAAGAAATGTACAAATTCTATCTCTGAAACGGAGAAGCGCGGTGGGCAGTATTCTGCGGCTAGGCTGAAATAGACGCTTTGTGTTTCGATATGAATTGTTGTGGCCTGTAGATAAGTTGTAGAAAATGATGGCAACAGATAGTGCCTGATGCGTCGCTTTATCAGGATGCCAGTACCTCCATGACCCTGTTTGAGATGCCATGCCATTGAGATGAAAATAATAATGTTGTTTGTTAGGTGAGTCTCTTATATGAGCAAAGCGTCAATGTCATGTTGATTGAGGAACTGCAAGAGCTCGCATATGTATTATGAAATGTCATTCGCATTTCAAAAACATATTTTTAGTGGAGCCATGTGAGTAGATTTCTGTTTGATTAGTAATTCCATAAGGAGATGTTGATTGCGCATAATTTCCTGCACCGTTTGTTGTATTGCTACCATTGTATTTGTTAGAGTTGCCGGAATTGATTCAATCCCACTAAGCAATTGGGATGGATTTGCAGTGGTATGTTGGGTAGTAGTTTCTGGCCCCTGTTGCTTTGTCTGACAACAGTGTGACAGACAGTGTGGTTTCCCCCACAGTTGCTAAATTTTTGTAGCAGAGGGGTCCTCCTTATTTACAGGGAAGGCCTCATTGAGATATACATCCCCGCAGGCAAAACAGACTGCGCGTAGGGTACAATAGGTTTTTATGTGTCCATATTCCTGGCAGTTTGTGCATTGGACAGGTCCATTTCGTTTGTGCGGTTCCTCAACGGTGATTTTACGGTGCAGTAGATATTGCAGCTTGTAAATTGGGTGAACTTCGTTTTTATTTATAGGCATACAGTCAGGTGTCAGTTCTACCCTGAACATTGGTTGGGGAATTTTATTTTTGTTTATTATGTTCATTGACATTTTGACTTCGAAGCCCTTATATTTAAGTCCATCTTTTATCTCGCTGACTGGAACTGTTGGGTCGATTGTTTGATAACCACTTGCAATCCCTTGCTGCTCTTAAGTTGGTGGGTCTAGTAGTTCATCTTTTCATCGTCGAGGTATTTTACCAGTGATCGATATGTATTTTCATCATTGACTTGTATTTTAGTTTCAATTATGCTATCCCTTTTTATAGACATAACATAGAATTTGTTTTCGCCAATTTTGGTAGTGAGTTTTTTAACCAATTCTGTACAATTTGCCTGACGTACATAAATAGGTGGCGGCTTTAGTTTGCTTGGCCTTAGCTGTTTCGGCGTTATCGTCTTCAGGTAAACTGAGAATCGCGAATATATTGTTTTTCAGCGCTTCAGTTGGCACAGTGTTTTTAGCTGTTTTTGTTTCTTTGCATGCGCTGTTTTTCTTAGTCGCTTGTGGGCTTAGTTTTCGTTTAATGTCCACATGTCGAGCCCAGTCTGTATTAACGCTCCGTTAGTGCTTTGTGCACTTTTCGGCTGGGAGAGGGGGAGGTCGCAGTGAGTTGAAAATACCGGGCGCTAAGAAACTGCCAAAAAATGCGGGAGCCGAAAAATGTAACAGGCAGAAGGAGGCGTGGCAGACCCCACAAAGTATATATATTCTTGATCAGCATGACGAGGCGAGTCGATCTAGCCCTGTCTGTCCGTCTGTCCGTCCGTATGAACACCTGGATCTCAGAGACTATAAGAGATAGAGACACCAAATTTTGCACAAAGATGCGTTATGTGTGTATTCTATACGAGTTTGTTTTATTTTTTTGATTTTCCCCACTACTTCCCCTGTATGGGGGTTTTCCCGATTTTCCATTCGTATAATCGCCTATATCTCGGAGACTATAAGACCTAATTTAAGACCAAATTTTAATCCAATGCCTTATGTGAATACGCACAAAATGTGATTAACGGCGGCGCGTTGTCCTCGTGGACGAGTACGACTGGAAAAGAATATTGTAATGCGTCTTGGGGCGCTGCAGTTTTTGGTTTGTTTCACCGGAATTATATCCCCTTTTTGATAACGTGTAATCCAAGCTAACCACATACTTAAGTATAGGTAGGTTAGGAGGTGCATGAATTAGGTAGTCCAAACTGGCACAAACAGACGGCCATAACCGCAGCGTCCCCATGGCCTGAATGTCCAGGTCAACAGGTTGTAATAATGGAATAGAGTACTCTTAATGGGTGAGATGGGGTGACCAAAGTCAAAAACCAAATAAAACAAGCACATTAAAGGGAGCCGGCAACAAATTGCCAAGACCGGCTCAAGGCAGGGAGGGCCACCGGTACTTTAGCTTCTGTACCTGTTTTTATTTATCTTTATAACGTATTTTTATCAATTTATCCTGGGAATTCGGAAAAAAAGTATATTCTGCATATCTACCGAAAAATAATTCATTATTGTTTATTGCATTTCATTTTAAATATATTCTTTTTTATTTTTTAGGAAGACGCTTCCATATTTTAGTCCTACAAGCATATCGTGCACTAAAACAGGAGCCACAAATAATATGTCATCAAAGTGTAATAATATGGAACGCCAATCAACAAGGATCACTTCCAACAATTTTAAATTCACATACTTAAATAAACATAATGCTTTTATAAGTATACGAGTATAAATATTAACAATTATTGATGAATTTGTCGCGTTTTAGTTTTCGTCGATACATTAAATTTATAGGATTTTGGAATATCATACCTCCCGTAATTCTTGGAATTTCGAACTAAAATTACCAGTTACCCCCAGTTAGTTATTATGTGTCCGTGGGCCAAGTTTCACTATGATAGACCGGTTTAACAAGAAGTTATAGCCATATATATATTTGCTGCCCAAGCGCTGCCCGCGGCTGTTGTTGATGCTGATGCTTTGGTTGACTGCAAACATGTTTACACAGACACGAATAGATGCGCATAGACATTCATACACTCACATAGCAATTACGCAATTGATTTGTATATGTGCAATTATACACCCTTTACGTGAGTTCGAATATCGAAAGAGAGGTAAAATCGATCCAAATGTTTATAGCCTGTACCCAAAGGGTGAAAGGCTATACTAGTTTTGTGCGAATGTATGTAACACACAGAAGGAGGCGTGGGAGACCCCACAAAATATATATATTCTTGATCAGGGTGACAAGCCGAGTCGATTTAGCCATGTCCGTCTGTCCGTCCGTCTGTCCGTCCATCTGTATGAGCGCAAGGATCTCAGAAGGTACAAGAGCTTGAATTACCAAATCCTTGGAATCCAGGTTCCCTTAAGCCCTAGGCAGGTCAAGTTTATTTTTTTGTTCTTATACACCCACCACTCCCCCGCAATTCGTGTTTTTTTATAACTTCCGTAATTCTTGGAATTTTGAAATATATTTGAACATATTTTGCATGCCTGTGGCTTGGTTTTGTTGGATGGGTGTGGTTTCACGCTGATCTCTGCCTCAAACGAATTTCGTTTTTTAGGTACCCCGTCCATTTATTGAAGGTTGGAATGGCGTTGGTCTTGAAAATTTGAAACACCCCGACCTCTCGTCGTCCATTGCCCCAAGGGTACGCGTTCAACCAAAAACTTGTTGAGCTCCACTCATTTTGGAATCTCTGTCTTATTTTTTAAGGATTGCTCCCAGAAAACTCAGGGGATCTTGGGGAGCTTGCGTTCCCAGAAAAAGCACAGAATAGAGTCCCAAGCTTCTGTGTTTACATTGGAGTGTTCCAGAGCAGCGAGACGCCCTTGAATGGTGCTTTGAAGCTCCTTGACAGCTGCTCCGGACTCTTGGCCGATTGCGGAAAGGCCGGAAAGTGTTAAGCACCCCATCCACAGACGAGCATTTTGCCTGAACTTGTTGTGCTCGACGAAATGTTCGACGTTAGTGGAGATTCTCGGGTGTGTTTAAGTGCTCGATGTTTTGCTCGCATAGAATAGAAATGTTTCTATCTTGTCACTGTTCATGCGAACATATTTGACAGTTAATGGCAGTGTTGCCCGAGCACCATTTGAAAAAATATTTGTGAAGAACAGACGTTTCAAAATGAACAAGCAATTATTGCTCGATTTTATAGAATTCTTCCACAATGAGCTGTTTTTGTGGAAAAAGAAAAACGGGGAATATAAGAATAAGCATTTGCGCAATAAAGCGTGGGATGTGCTATTAACAAAATTTCAAGAAATTAATAGATACGTTTCATATACCACTTTTTCATCCAAATACTGTGTTTCCTTCTTTGCCCACCATTTCTTTTTTCTTGCTGTTTCTCAATACATACTTGAATTGCCATTTAGGCCAAAATTGTATTTTCGTCCGTATCCATTTATCTATTCCGCACTTGTCAAAATGTTCTCTCAAATAATGTTGACAAACAATGTTCGTCACGTTAGTGAGAAAATGTATTTGTGCTGCCGAGCAGGTTCAGGCAACATGCTCGCCTGTAGATGGAGTGCTTTAGCTGGCTATAAACAAGAAATCTTTTATTTTCAAGCTGATTTTTTACATTTTGCTAAGCGGACTCAAAACCGTCATGGGTGAACGGGGACTTTAAAACAATGGATTTGGCTTCAAGAATCGTTTTGACATTGAGATAAAACAGTTGCCCAATTGGAGTTAGCCTCGGATTATTATTATTAATATAAACCGCTGTGAATAGATTACGGAAAGAAAACCATGAGCTTGGCTGCACATCTTTCGTAGACTAGGTAGCAGTGCTCGTACTTTTTGAGGACTACAGCCAGATCATGCCTGCTTTCTTTTTTTTTTGATTCGATTTTGTGCATTGATCACACTCCTGCTCTATTTTGACGCATAGCGCTTGGACTTGATCTCTCCGGATCTTCTCGTATATAGGGATGCCTATAGGAAGCACACATAGTAGCCTCGAAAGCGCTCAGCCTGTCACTCACGGCGAGGAAAGTATTGAGCGCCATTTGGCCTATGGATCGGGACTGTTGAGATACAGACCTAGTCCTTTTTTATCACTAGGAGCAGTCTTGGCTTCGGTTGCAGAAGCCTTGGAACTTATGGTTGGTGTGAGCTGCTGAGTGGGACTGGCCTTTGAAGATGAAGCGGAGGCAATGCTTAGCGTATGCGCCTGGATGATAGCTACTGCCGTCTTGGAAGAAGGATCACAAAGGTTTTATTGCTCGATAGCTTTCTCCTGATAACCGGCTGGCATAATAACTTTTAAAAAACGGAATACAACGGAAATCTTAGGATTGCTGAAAAATTGCGAGCGTTTTTGCAAATCTATTTATACTTAAAATGTTTATTTATTTATGTATATATAATAGAAACTATAAATCGGCCGTGGTTCCCGTTTCCGACGAAGTTGGGTGCTCGCGGCGGGACGAACATCCAGTCGATCCCTCGCTGTGAGGCGTACGACACTATCCTGTCTTTCTGGTCGCCGATTGCTGCCTGAAGCTTCTTCAGAGTATTCCTTGCTCCCACGAAATGTGTCGCGTTGTCCCTGTACACGCGCTTCGGAAGACCCCGTCTGCCGATGAACCTTTCAAAAGAATTTAAAAAACAATCAGTTGACAACTCTTCAACAGGTTCGAGGTGGACTTGACGTAAGACACACAAGTACTGCGACAAAAGACTTTAAAGGGGCCCTTCCACGAATTCTGAGACTCGCGTGGAAAGGACCAAAATAATCTACTCCACAAACCGCGAACACGTGCTCCGGATTCACGCGATCGGCTGGTAATTTGCCAATTATTTGACTCAGCAACTTTGTTTGAAGCGGAAGCAATGATCGCAGTTTTTTACTGCCCTTGCGCATGCCTCTCGAGTATTGATAAGCCATATTTGTTGCCTAAGAAGAGCAACCATGACTTTGGCAGTGCATGATAATTTTCTAAATGCAAGCCGCGAACGAAAAGAGTTACAAGACGCGAATTTCGTGGCTTTAGCAGAGGAAATTTCGCGTCGTACGGCGGAGAAGCGTTAAGCAGTCGTCCACCTACTCGCACAAGTTGCAAGTTAACCTCGTTTTGCTCGTACTGATGAAAGAACGAATTTCAACGCTGATATTTCGGTTGCAGAAATTTGGACGCCTTAATATTTTCAATCTCCTGGTGCAAGTCTAGTTTAAGGAAAGCCAATTTTAGCTCACTTGCAGTAAGCAAGCCTCTGCTATTGCATTTTGATTTGAGACAGTACCATCTTTCTAAAATCGAAGCACCATAAATTAAGGACTCAATTGGGCTTAAACATGTCTCAGTGACAGTGTATGCCAACACACTTTTTTTTGTTCTCAGATGACTTTAAATCTGGTGCCAACTGAAGCTGATGTAAGTTTGGCCAATGGTCAACTGGTTTTAATAGAAATTCGGGGCCGTTAAACCAAATGGACGACACCAACTCGTCAACATTAGTGCCTCTAGACACTAAATCGGTGGGGTTCCATTCGGTCGGTACATTACGCCAAACCGTTTGACTCGCATTTACCTGTGTGGGATCTTGTAGTAATAATACTAATATTAGTAACAATAATCACTTTATTTAATAACTTTAAATTATACAATGTGTGAAATTAACGTGCGGAGATGGTGGACGCTGGTGCTGTCTGTTCGATCAGTAACCAAGTGCTTCTATGCTATCGATAGCTTGCTATTTCAAATTGGGACACCAAAAGCGAGACTTGAACCCACAGCTTAGCAAGCGAGTGCGCAGCGCACAATTCAAGACCTGGAATTGTCACTGTTTTCAGAGGAGAAACGCGAGACTTTGGCATCAACAAGACAGAGACCACATTGTTGCCGTTGTCAGTTCGAATGTAGATGCAGCTGTCATAGGCGTGGCTGGATGCATCTGCGAAACCATGTATTTGGATGGTTCGACTTCCGGCGAGACCTACATATCTCGGTATAATGATTTGGTCGAGCTTAAGCAGATTTGACTTGAACGTAGGATTGTCTCATCCCAATCAAGTTTCTGCCTCCACAAACCTTGCAACAATACTTCGCCTTCGTAACAACAGGGCAAAGCGGCTCCATCAGACCAACAGAATATTGCGCTTAGGTGGCTGTATAATCATAAGCTTTTTTATGATTCGAAATATGCGAAATTATGTTATCGAAATAATTGCAAAAAACGAAATTGTTCAATTTGAAAGGAGTTCCTAATGTTTATTGGGCTGTAGGTAGCTAGCATCGCATACGATTTGTATACTTTTACGCGCTTTACAAAGTGTAGGATGATAGACGGAAAGCTAGGCTTCTTCCTACCAGATGCGAAAACGAACAGAATTTGCAGAGTTGTCGACAATAACTAAAAACTATGTGGCGGCTGCGCAGCAACCTATACAAATTTATAGCAGGCAACAAAAGGAACGTAAAATTCTCATCTTGGTGTGCAAAACAAGTTACAAATAAATGAGAAATATGTGTTGAGTTATTTACGTTACTTATTAGCTAAGATGTGCTGCTTTGAGCAACGATGGTCCAACGGATCTGTAAGGTGATGTTTTGCAGACTGCAAAACGCCAATCAATACAGTCAGCAAGACAAAATTCTTGCATAGCACGCAGGTGCTCGCTGGATTCAAAAATATGCTTCAGCCATCTCGTTCCGTGCGTCAATGAAAT